CCTCTTACTTGGTAAACTTCCTGTTCCAAAATACTATCAAATAGAATCTCTTACTGAATTAGAAGACTAGTTTTCCATTATGAATAAATCGACACTTTTGAGTATGCATATGATACCACCTGTAATGGTGCATAGGAAAATCTTCTGCTCCTTTTCTTCTTTGAGTTTACAAAATTAATGGCAAGTATATGTGAACCGACATGATCCGACGATGGATTTGAATACTTGACAAGTGTTTGGTAAGAAGGTATTTGGATACTCAGTTTTTCAATGGACAGTGATACGAAGTATCTAAAAGCCATGAAACTTGTCTTATGTTTTTTTTGATAAAGTCACAAACATAGCTGACCGAGTCTATCATGCGTGACTTCCTCTCTTTTCGTGCCACATGTAGTAGTCTTGGTTACTCATAAAGAGAAAATATGATTTTGATAAAATTTTTGCTAAATGATCAAATCATGACATTACTTGTCAAAGTCAAAAAAAAAATCTATAAAACAACTTTTTATCATAGATATATCGTTTCAGTCACTTGAGATCAATGCTCATCAGTCAATTTATCTCACTCTTCTTGTATTAAAAGAAAAATTGTTGATGGCCGTTCTTTAAATTTTCCCTCTCAAGTCTCAAATGTGCTTTCACACATTTCACTCTGCCAGAATTATATCCGGAGATTTTTTAAAAATCTATTGTTAACTGTTCTGTAATGCAGTCAGAGTGAGATGATTAGCTCAGTCATTGATTTAACAACTTTAGATTTTCCTAAGCATCGTAAATAGGCTAAGAAATCAATAACATTTGCAACTGTCTCAATGATATGACCATTGACGAAAAAATGATATTCAACAAATCGTCTCGTATGCTTTTGATAGCAAATAGAACCGATGGGTCTACTCTCAAAGATATAGCGTCAGGCTCTGAACCTGATGGTATCTTTTATTATGATAACTCAACTGATAAAGAAGATGACGAAGTCAATAACGGTCATCATTCAAGTATTTACAATCTCGATAATGTTACTCACACCTCTTTCGCTGATGTTCGAATCTTTGATTCGGTCGAAGGTGCGAAATCCTGGTGATATTTTAAAGTACGAATCTACGGAAAAGAAAAATTTATAGACAAATAAACATTCTATTGAAGCTTTACAGAAGAAAACACATCTTTATCGGACGACCAATTATGACGAGTTATTCGACAAAATAAAAATTGACAGTTATAAGTTGAAAACTATTATCTACTTTCTTCTTTTTACTAATTTAGATAAAAATACGTTAAAATAAGTAGTGTTTTCTCGATTTCATATTATTCAAGAACGCTCTTACGATAGCTTTCAATGATTTGCCAGATTAAAGATTAAAACTGTATCTAATTCTTCTGCTAACATATCTACAGAATACCAAAGTTTAAAGTAACGAATATGGAATATAAAATAAATGACTTTGATAATTTTTAAAATATTGGAGTGAAGAAAATCATTTCAAATCATTAAAATCAAATAAATCTCTAGAGAAAAGAAAAAGTCATAATAATCAAGTGTTTCCCCTTAACTTTATGATTCAGAATTACGATCGTATTTCTCCTTGTCACATGCGAAGAAATACGATCACTTATAGAGTTCTTATACGACTTTTGATTTATTCAGTATCTGGCTATAAACAATCGTATTTGTCCGTAAACTATATGAAGAAATATGATCATAATACTCCGTCATGCAATACAACATAATACGATTGTATGATGTGAAATACGGAGTGTATACGGATTTCATATTTTTCGTCCAGGGCTACTGCTCGGTTAATATTAATCCTTGTGCATATATGCCCTTTTTTATTATCCTATACAGTCATTGATAGCATTGTAGCCGTAGCTATCAGATTGTCATTTGTACCATAGTAATCGTATGGTCACCTGTACTACAGGTACCATATGATCAAAAAGAAATGAGTTAGTATAGATAAGTAGCTGAATATTTATTAAATAATGCTTGGGATTAAATAGCTATTCACTGAGAGGGATTGACAATAAATGAAAAATTGACGTTTTATTAAAAGCAAGTATATCACTATAAAAAATTCCTTCCAAATATCTGTTCGCTATCTTTATCAACCTTCTCAATACAAAAAATATATATCTTTTGGGAATGAGTCGTTGTATAGTGAAGCAGCGAATAACCTTTCCAAGCTTCACTAACGAAGCGGACAGTTGTTCAACTCGAGTTATTCAAACTTAAATATACGTCACTCGAATACAGAATTTGTTAAATTTTTATTTGTCTTTTTGATTGATCTCACGTTTAGTATTCAAAAAAGTATCAGAATTTCCTTTTTCAATATTCACATATAGATAGAACTTGTCGAATCCTACAGAAACATATATAAATATCTTGTAAAAACATGTAGAAAACAATATTTCGATGAATTTTTTTCATCAGTTGTTAGCTTTTATGTTGTGTTATGTCAAAGGGAACTGATTGGATTCAATGATTTCTTTTATGCACACGGATTAGGTATGTATTTGTCTTGTAAGAGAAAACCGGCAAATACAAGAAAGAAATAAAAAGGTTTTTTTGATTGATTTAAACGCTGATAAGATCAACAGCAACAAAAGCATCATATATACTCCATATTTGACGTTTTATTATTTAAATCTTGCTTTGAAGGAATATGAAAAGTATATTGTTGCCTTATCTTTTGTGTATTACTGCTGCTAATGGTCAATCACCCTGTGATGAAATATCATTCGTTGATCGAGCTGGATGGGGTGCACGAGAACCAACTGCAATAACAAATCTAACAAGAAAACCTCTTTCATTTTATGTTATACATCATACTTATCAACCTCCAAAGTAGATATATTCTATGTGAAATTATTTAACGAAAATGATTATTTATAGTTGTTATGATGATGCATCATGTATTCAACGAGTAAAATCTATTCAAGATTTCCATCAACTTGATCGAGGATGGGCAGATATAGGTTATCATTTTTTAGTTGGTGAAAATGGTAAAGTCTATGAAGGTCGAGGATGGAATCGTCAAGCTGCTCATTCGCCCGGATGGAATGATGATGCATATGGTAAAAAAATTTTTATCTAATAAGCGATGCAAAAGTCTGAGGAAAAATATTGAGTCGCACAGCTCACGCCAGCAATTTTAGAAGATGAACAGCTAATTTATTTTTGTGTTAGAAAAAGTATGAGAAGTACTACAAAAAAAAAACCTGTATTTAGAGAACTGAGTGCAGGTCATCTTGCCACATAGCTCGAAACTTCTTCCGAACATCCTTTATCATAGTTTGCAACATTTCTTGATCAACTTATTTTACCGTTTGTTTGATTCTTCGAACTAAATGATCAACATCTTTTGCTCCCGAATTGTTTTCATATAGTTTTTGTCGTTCAAGTGGAGTCTATATAGTTTCAATTGGGCGAACTTGAGGTATGTTTCGTAGATTGTCAGTACGAGAAATAAATGGTATTTTTTTCTCATTCAACCATTCTTGAACGATACCTGAATAATGTGCTCTTGCTAAATCGGACCAGAAACGATAATTTCCATTCCAATGATATTTATTAATACACAGCAATAGTCTTTCGTTAATACATTCTTTTAAATATATTTCTTGATCGATAATTTGTTTGCTTTTGTGAAAATAGACATTCGAAGCCTTCTTCGAAGAACACAGCCATTAAAATCATTACATTTGGTTTAAATTTCGCTTGCTTTTGAAACTAGATGTGTGGAGGAGTTGTAGCTAGATCGGTTGAATAAAAATAGCGATTCTCAATGATGTTGTTTCCAGTCAATTTGAAGTATTTTTTCATCGTCGACAATTATATCGCAACCATGTAACAATTTTCGATATACTTTGCCAACATTTTTTTCGTACTCGAATTTGCTGCTGTTCATTATTCATTTTTGGAGTTTTTTGGCGTTTTCTTGTAACATCTGATGTTCGTCTTCAAAGATTGCGTGAAATTGTTGTTTGTTATGCTTCAAATCATTGTTCTATTTCACATTGCACTACACCAAACTGATTGTTCACGGATTTAACAACATTATGCAAAATTTTGTTGAATAATTTGACCGAACGATTACTTCGAGGCCGATCTTTTGTAGTTTCATATTTTAAATACTTTATTAATACATAATATATCGTACTTTGTGGAATATTTTACTTTTTAAAATAATTTACCGTAGTTTTTTTATGGAACTATTAAAAGAATCACAGTAGAAGTTGCAAATACGTGGTGCCAGTGCTTCTCGTTCATCAGGTGTCATTTTTGTTATGAATCAACAGCAACAGTTTATCATACATCGTTGGAAAGAGTACTAAACAAACTATCAGCTGATAACAAAATGTTTATATGAACACATATCTGTCAGTTCAATATAGCGTTAAACATTTTTCCAAAGATTTTTGCATCGCTTATTACTATTTCAATCATTCACTTTTTATTTTTAAGGCATTTGTATCATTGGTGATTTCACAGTAGCACCTCCAAATGAAAAAGCATTAAATACGGTACAATCATGGATTAAATGTGGTATTGCACGAGGTCATGTCAAAGAAGATCATTATATTATTACTCATCGACAATCACAACGACCAGGTTATACAGAATGGTAATGCTTTTGATTATTGAACGAGAGAGCCTTTTCAATTTGAAAATCGCTTTTCACTTCTGACTGTATGTGTAAGGTAGGCCCCAATGAAAACTAAAAATTCTAAAAGGATAAGTATGTCTTGATTTTCTCTACAGAGTTATAGTCGTTTTACTGAAGTTTTAATCCATAACACGGTATGTACAAAAGAATCGAATGATGATATTTTAACTTGAAGTTTTACCCATAGGTATTTGTACTTGTAACTAGAATGTCATGAAAATTTCATCTCACAAGAATATGTTCTTCACAAACTGTTGAATTCTCAAAAAACATGAGATTCTCGAATCTTTTGTAGAATATGAGTCATTTTTCAAAAATTCAATATCTTCTGAAGGAAACATGCTTTTCAACTGAAATAGTCAAAACATTCTTCTTACAAATAGACCTATCTATGAGCACAATTTCAGATCAAAAGTCATCATTCGATTCGTTTGTAAATATCCTACTACAGACTAAAATCTCTCTAAAACAGCTATAACTTTGTAGAGAAGACCTAGGGATTCTTATCCTTTTCGAGTTCTCAATGCTTCATCGAAGACTACTTTATACATAGAGTCCGAACTCAAAAGCTATTTTCATATTGAGATGGTTTTCTTGTAGTTATATTTTTCATTTTAATTAATCTTTTATTTAGTCCTGGTGATGGCGCATTTAATGTTGTAAATAAATGGTCACGATTTTGTTCATTTCAAAATTCTGGAGCAAATTTAACTGCAAATCAAACACAAATATCTCTTGCTCTTAATTTTTGTAAAAAAGAACTTGAAATATCCTCATCTACTTCAACACATCTATTTATGCCAATTATTTTATTTCAACTTTTATTCATCTATTTTTTATAAACAAAACTTTTTTTCTTTTTTTGTTTATTACGTTCAAAATTTTATTTAATAAATATAATATCAAAGAAAAAAGCAACAACAACAACAACAACCATAAGAATAAGATAAAGAAAATTTTAAGGTTAATTATAACCAAATGTGTATTGAATTAGTATAAGTATCAATATGTAATCTAATTTCATGTAAAATATTATGTTTTTGAAACCATTCATACATATCTTGTGTAGTAAAATTTTTTTTATCATTATCACCTTCAAGACCAATCTGAAGATATTGAAGTGATTTCATATTATGTATAAATGATGGAATTGCATCACGAAAATCTTCAAAATGTGGTAAACAAGCTGAAAATGTTTTCAAACGAGGAAAATTAAAACGTATAGCTTGTACTGTTTCATATGATATAAGCATTGTAAAAAGTTTATTATCATAGTGATCACAGGTCGAATAAGGTCAGTCAATTTTAACGTTTGAAAAAACACCATGAGAGATAAGTCGAACTACTAATTAGATCGAAAGAGCAAGATACGTTGGTGGGTACTTACTCTAATTTCTTGAAGACTATCATTTATTAACATAAGTTGTCACGAGTAAAATGTCCGCTGATTAAATTCAAAGAATCATATCGGCTTGTATTTTTAGTCACACTGTTCCATTCCAGTAATATTCATACCATGCAATGCAGTCGACAGTGCACTCGGCCTTGTGTGTAGATGAGAAATGTCATTGAACTGAATAAATACTCTGCTTGTATCGATTGGTCAAATCAATCTTTCAAAACATTCGCATAATAAAGATTCCTAATTTTTTTGTCTGTTATGAGGTGCAAAATCCGTGAAAGAAATTTTGCTGAAAAATCAGGATAAAATCAACTATTTTTATAGTAAAAATCGATTAAGATAATGCTATTTAGTTCTGATTCAAACTTGATTCCTCAGTTCTAAAGATAGATTTCAATTGATTTTAGTCTTTTTCTATTGATTAATATATTTTTACCGATCGACATTATTGTTTTAAAAATCGATTAAGAAATATTAAAAATAAATCGAATCTATCTTCAAAGTTGAAAACTCAGGTCTTGATCATATTCAACCAGGATCAATTTAGTCGATTTTTAGTTAGAAAAAAATCGATTAACATCAGATGTTATCTATATTCTTACGTGGAAAATCTTCCTTGAAAAAAAAAGGGTTCTTTTTCTTCTAATCAATATCAAATGTTATGACTTAAATGTTAACACATATATATATATTGCTCTATCAGATGACTTTCTCTCATATTATGATAACACCTTTTATGAACTTGTGCATGATAATTATACCATGGTTGTCAAAGAAATGTTCAAGTTTCAAAGGATAAGATCTGTATAATCTTTATTATGTATTAATAATGTATTTGGCTTAATGAAATAGAATTCTGCCGACTTATAACTGAATCTTTAAAAAAAGTTGGTTTTCGACATCAAAATTGCAAATTTTAAATTGAATAAGATATTCACATCGACATAGATTTATTGATACAAGCATTATGAAATACAAATGATAAACAAAATTACAATTTATGTAGATTGATCGCCAATTCAATGATCTAATAATTTCTCAAGAGTTTCTTCTCAAATATCTTCTACTTAAAACCCTGACTGAATTCTATCGAAGAAAAGATAATAAGGATAATGACACCAATCTATCTTTTTTTTGAACTGTACTAATTAACAATATCATACAAAATTTATCGTGTATAAAAAATTCATACTGCTATAACAAACGGGTGCAAAGATTTGCTATATCTCTTTATATATTTCCAGTTTGTAATGCGTACAAAGTTGTTCATATTATCATTTTTGATGCTATACCAGTTGTTTCTACTATTCAGTCATTTCTAGATAGTGACGAAAGCAATATTACAATAGGTGAGTTTTGTTTGGATACTCTGAAGTGCAATTTCAGTTTGAATAATATAAGCATTGTCATTTACTTGGCAGACTATACTGCTGTCATTCCTAGATTAACTTATAATGCTCCTTAAAATATCTTCGTTGGTTCTTCATTACCTCTTACTTGGTAAACTTCCTGTTCCAAAATACTATCAAATAGAATCTCTTACTGAATTAGAAGACTAGTTTTCCATTATGAATAAATCGACACTTTTGAGTATGCATATGATACCACCTGTAATGGTGCATAGGAAAATCTTCTGCTCCTTTTCTTCTTTGAGTTTACAAAATTAATGGCAAGTATATGTGAACCGACATGATCCGACGATGGATTTGAATACTTGACAAGTGTTTGGTAAGAAGGTATTTGGATACTCAGTTTTTCAATGGACAGTGATACGAAGTATCTAAAAGCCATGAAACTTGTCTTATGTTTTTTTTGATAAAGTCACAAACATAGCTGACCGAGTCTATCATGCGTGACTTCCTCTCTTTTCGTGCCACATGTAGTAGTCTTGGTTACTCATAAAGAGAAAATATGATTTTGATAAAATTTTTGCTAAATGATCAAATCATGACATTACTTGTCAAAGTCAAAAAAAAAATCTATAAAACAACTTTTTATCATAGATATATCGTTTCAGTCACTTGAGATCAATGCTCATCAGTCAATTTATCTCACTCTTCTTGTATTAAAAGAAAAATTGTTGATGGCCGTTCTTTAAATTTTCCCTCTCAAGTCTCAAATGTGCTTTCACACATTTCACTCTGCCAGAATTATATCCGGAGATTTTTTAAAAATCTATTGTTAACTGTTCTGTAATGCAGTCAGAGTGAGATGATTAGCTCAGTCATTGATTTAACAACTTTAGATTTTCCTAAGCATCGTAAATAGGCTAAGAAATCAATAACATTTGCAACTGTCTCAATGATATGACCATTGACGAAAAAATGATATTCAACAAATCGTCTCGTATGCTTTTGATAGCAAATAGAACCGATGGGTCTACTCTCAAAGATATAGCGTCAGGCTCTGAACCTGATGGTATCTTTTATTATGATAACTCAACTGATAAAGAAGATGACGAAGTCAATAACGGTCATCATTCAAGTATTTACAATCTCGATAATGTTACTCACACCTCTTTCGCTGATGTTCGAATCTTTGATTCGGTCGAAGGTGCGAAATCCTGGTGATATTTTAAAGTACGAATCTACGGAAAAGAAAAATTTATAGACAAATAAACATTCTATTGAAGCTTTACAGAAGAAAACACATCTTTATCGGACGACCAATTATGACGAGTTATTCGACAAAATAAAAATTGACAGTTATAAGTTGAAAACTATTATCTACTTTCTTCTTTTTACTAATTTAGATAAAAATACGTTAAAATAAGTAGTGTTTTCTCGATTTCATATTATTCAAGAACGCTCTTACGATAGCTTTCAATGATTTGCCAGATTAAAGATTAAAACTGTATCTAATTCTTCTGCTAACATATCTACAGAATACCAAAGTTTAAAGTAACGAATATGGAATATAAAATAAATGACTTTGATAATTTTTAAAATATTGGAGTGAAGAAAATCATTTCAAATCATTAAAATCAAATAAATCTCTAGAGAAAAGAAAAAGTCATAATAATCAAGTGTTTCCCCTTAACTTTATGATTCAGAATTACGATCGTATTTCTCCTTGTCACATGCGAAGAAATACGATC